AAAATGAGCCTAGAATAAAATGCACATGGTAATTTTCTATTGTTATATACTGGAATACCATAAGTTTAGTGGTTTAAATTCACTCCTATTTATTATCTTATAGTTTCTGGAGGTCAGAAATACAGGCACAGAATTGGATTTGTTTCCCAGGGTCTCCCCAGGCTGAAATCAAGGTTTCAGTGGGGCTTTGTCTTTTTCTGTAACTCAGATCATTTTCAAACTCAGGTGGCTGTGGGGACAGTTCAGCACTTGGCAGCTGTAGGACTGAGTCTCTTGTTCTCTTGCTAACTGATTGCTGGGGCCTGCTTCCTCAGTTCTTTTCCATTTGGTCCCCTTCATATCCCCTTTTCTTATCCACTCCCAATCTCTGACTTCCTCAGTCTCTGACCTCTATGCCTGAATTCAAAGGGCTCATTAAATGAGGTCGGGCCCACCTAGATCTTCTCCCTTATTAATTCAGAACCAACTGATTAGTAACCTGGTTCACATCTGCAATCTCTTAGGTCATGTAACAACGTAACATAATCACAGGAGTGATACCTCATCATATTCACAAGTGCCTCCCTCACTGCACAGGAGGAAATTAGGTAAGGCCTGTCTATCAGATGGCGAGGATCCTAGGGAATATCCACATGTATTTCTTCCCAAGAAAGAAGGCAACAAATTTATATCAAGCTATTATGAAGGATATCTTTAACAATTCTTAAAAACAGAATAATCATCACAATTTTTGTATAAACCCAATTTTTATACAAGTAAAAGAAAAAAAATACATATAATCTACTAGTGCCTTCTGAGGGAAGAGGAAGATGGAGAAGCCTTTGAGGTAGGAGCTGGGATGACCAAGCTGCTGTGCATGATGTGGGGAGTGAGGGGGAGGGGGAATTTGATTAAGAGAAAACTGGATCCTGGATGCATCAATGGAGAAAGGTGTGTGTTGGTGAGGGTACAGTCTCCAAAGAGATTTGGAGGGGATGAACTGATTTAGGAGAGAAGACACAGCTCACAAAAATGTCAAGGTTTTTGCTAAAGGAGATGCTCCTTGCTCTGGCTCTCCCATAACCTTCAGTAGAATCTGCATTCCTCTCTAAGGCTCTCTGTGTGACTGAATTTCCCTGACAAATGCATCAAAGATGGTGCAGGGCAAACACAGACAGAATGCATATGAGGAGAGCCATCTGACATAGGGAGGCTCAAGGGAATGGGAGAAACATTCTTAATAATATTTGCACTCAATTTTGAATGCTTGGGAAAATAAGAGATGACAGGAAATCTTATGCCTTCTTCTCCAGGTGCTTTTCCACCTTCTCTCCAAAGATCTGGAAGAAAGGAATATCCATAGACCAGAAGTTTCTGTGCAACGACTGTAGATGAACATCAGGGACTAGATCAATCTCTATGGAGCAGTGAGGAATTCATCTAAGAGAGATCCACCTGAGGACCACAAACACAGATGTGGACACAAAGACAGAGGAGGGAGGAAGGGCAGGTCTTTGCAGTCCAGTGAACATCCAACACAGAGCTTTGTAAACATTCCTTCGCCCATCATTATGTATTCCTTAACACTAGCTCAGAAGGGAGGTTATTGCAGTCATCACAGCGAGTCAGAAAAAATACGGGGAATTGGGGAGGTTAAATGACCTGCCTGGGGCTGCCACACAATGTGGAGCAAAGTTGAGATTAAAATTCCCCAGTGCCTACGCCCCAGGCTTTGCTCCACCTTAACAAATTTCACAGTCTCTAAAAACAGCTCTTCCTCTGGGACATGACAACAGGATTCTATAGAACTGTACCAGGGATGCAGGAACGGAGATTCAGGGGTACACATTATAGACTACCTGCCCCTGGGCTTGAAATCTTTTGCCTTGATTTCTTATTCTGAAAGCTGAAAAAAGTGCTATGGCTTTTCTTTACTGGGGACAAGGGATGGGGGACAGAACAGGGGAAAACATGGGATGGGGGCATATTTGCTTGAACAATTAAATATAAAATTAACATATGATCCAGCAATTTCACATCTAGGGATATATACCAAAAGAAAGCAAAGCAGGAATTCAAATAGATATTTGTACACAAATGTTCATAGCAACATTATGTCAATAGCCAAAGGGTGGAGATGACTCAAGAGTCCATCAGTGGATGAATGGGTGCACAAAATTTGGTATATGCACACAATGGAATATTACTCAGCCTTAAAAAGGAGTGAAATTCTCATGCATGCTACAACATGGATAAAACCTAGACATTATGCTGAGCAAAATAAACAAAAGGGCAAATTCTGTATTATTTCACTTCTATGAGGTTCCCAAAGCAGTCACATTTTTACAGACAGAATGCATAATGGTGGTTGCCAGGGTCGCAGGGAGGGGAGATAGGGAGTTACTGTTTAGTGGGTACAGATCATCAGGCTGAATTTCAAGATGATGCAGAAGTTCTGGAGATGGATGGTGATGGTTGTACAATAGTGTTAGTCTACTTAATGGCACTGAATTGTACTGGAAATGGTTAACGTGGCAACTTTTATGCCATGTGTACCTTGATCACAATTTCTTAAAAGGAGATAAAAAGATCATGACTACTTATTTCCTAGGTATATCTCCACTACACTGAATGGCCTGTGATGGCAGGGGCCACATGTTTTACTGATAACCATATCCCCAGTGCTCTTCATGGTGCTGCCCACAGGAAGTTCTAGCTAGATACTTATTAAGTAAGTGAACCAGTGCCGGCCTGCTATTGTGGAGTGAGACTACCTGTGGCTTCCTCTGCCACAGTGCCTTGCTTTTTGACAACATAGTCATTGTCTGTTAGCTGCACTTGCAGACTGCCTCTAGACTAGGCAGCTCTCTGAAGCTGGGCTGTAAGGGACATAAGGGCCCAGCTTTCCCACCTGTCAGTCCTATTGGCCAATAAAAGAACAAGATTAGATAGTACAGACTCTGTATTATTGAGAAATGCAGAATATGCCATTGGGAATTAGAAGAACTTATCACAATAGTATATAATTCAGCACCTTTTAATATTCAAGAATTTTAGAGCTATCCAAGTAGATTTCAGTCCTATGTGGTCATCAGCATCAGCTAAGGAACTTTTTAAAAATATACATTCTCTGGGTATTACCCTCTTGATATCTGATTTAGTAGGTCTAGAATGGGTTCTGGGAACCTCAGTGTTTATTTGCTTAAGCTGTTATGCAAATAAGTTTGGAAATCTTTGCTCTAATCACTTCATATGTATGTCTTGCTTACCAAATGATAAGTTCTACCAGGGCAAGAAATGTGTCTTATATAATGTATGTATCACCTACAGTGTCTGGGAGGTTAATAAGTTCTGAGCTGAGTGATTAATACCTCTCTAAACATAAAACGGCACATGGCAATGGTCAACCTACATCTACTCTACCATTCCAACAACTCAAAACCTTAAGACCCAAATGAAGTCAGCTCTTCATTCTCATGCAGAAAAAAATACAAATATAAGTAAATATGTTGCCTGTTGGAGCAATATCAGCAAGAGTTGATTATTCCTTTAGGTCCACATCTGTTCTTTCAAATACTTGGAATTCAGCAGACTTATGAATAACACATTTCAAATTACAGGAGAGTCCAAGAGGCAAAAAACGGCATATTGTCAAGGCCAAGCAATGTGTGTTTAAACTAGAACAGCTGTAGATACAAAGCATCAGACTTGCTTTAAATAATAATGATGCCAATGATTTGAATTATAAACAGTTGTTTTCTTGGCAATATATGCTGTGACCAACCCTGCTTTATAACTAGGAGAAGGTGATCTTTCCTTGATAATCCACCACAAAATTTCATCATTATTTTGGAATGATGTCCAAATTCTACTAGCAGCAACACATTATTTGTGCTTCAGATAGTTTTCTGCCCAGATATCCCTTTTACAATGCAAATGCATTGATTTATAATTCATTGATACTTGAGTATGAACTAGGCCAGCATATTGTAAAGTCAGAACTCTACATTTAAGGATACCTTTAGTTAAACATTTTTGGGAATGGTAAAAACTGTTATCTTTTCTCTGACAGTCAAAAACAAAACTGCCTACAGTGGTTCTCAAAGTGTGGGCACTGGATGAATCATATCAGCATCAGTGGAAAACTTGTTAAAAATGCAAATTCTTGGGCTCATCCTAAAATGACAGAATCAGAAACTCTGGAGGTAGAGTTCAGTAATCTGTGTTTTAATAGTCCTTCCAGTGAGTCTGATGCTCATGAAAGTTTGAGAACCACTGTATTATGATATTACTGGTGAAAGAAGGCTTTCAGTAATGAAATGTGCTTATTTGAAGGCAGCATTACTCAAACACATTTGCTTTCATACCCTTTTTCATGTACTATCAATATCCATGTAGTCTGCTTAATGAAATACACATTAGATATTGTTACACCAGATTATGGAAAAGCGAAATATGTTAATTGCACAACTGGCAACATATAATGACAAGAGCAAACACTTATTGCATTATACTCTGTGCCAGCCCCCAGGAATACTGTGGTAGATCTGTTAGACATGATCCCTTTCTCACTAGGATAAACAATGAACATATAGAGAATGTAATGTATGAAGTCCACACAGTATAGATAATATAAAGGGCAAATTAAGAGGAACAATGGACAATTCAGCATTATTTGTGTCCTTAATTTCTTTTGCAAGGCATTCTCATCCTTCTCTTGTCCTCATTGCCTTGGCTGTGGGGACTAAAGCACCTGCCTTCAGCAGATATAATCAGACTTTACTCAGAAGCACTCTTAGGAAGTCCTAAGTACAAAGGCTTTAGAAAGGTCATGGTTACCAAAAAGGCTGGTGCTGTGGTCTGAATGTTGTTTGTGTCCTCCCAAAACTCGTATGTTGAAATTCCAACTCTCAGATACTATTAATAGGTGGGGCTTTTGGGAGGTACTTAAGCCATGAGGGTGGAGCACTCCTGAGTGGGATTAGTGCCCTATAAAACAGATCCACAGAGCTCCCTTGCCTGTTCCACTCTGAGGACACAGCGCAAAGTTGGCAGTCTGCATCCCAGAAGAGGGCTTTCACCACATCCAGAGCCTTCCAGCCTTCAGAACTGTGAGAAACACAATTCTGTCATTTATAAACTACCTAGCCAATGGCATTTTGTTACAGCAGCCAGAACAGACTAAGATAGCTGTCCAGTAAAGCTGCAGCACGCACACTCACAGACAGGCTCGCTTTCTCCTAGGTCACTGTTACTCTGCTGAACCTTCAAAGTCAGGTCTCTGGTTTGGTGGGCCTGCTGCCTGGGAGGTAGCTGAAGTCTGGGGAACTGAGGAAAGAGAAAGTATTCATGCTACAAAGAGAGCAAAAACCTGGATTTGCACTTTAAGAAACATATGTGCCAAGTCACAAGGCCTATTACAATGAGCTTGCTGAGGGCAGGGACCTTTGTTGTGCTCACGGATATATTTCCAGACTCCAGAACAGTGCCTGGCACACAGCAGGTACCCAACAAATATTTGCTTTCATGGTTCAGCAAACCCTCCATGTCAGTCATGTGCCGATCTGTGTATTAATAAGAGTAAGCTAATTGTTCAAATAGTGTCAAAATATGTGAAAGTTGAAATATAATAGAAAGGACTATCCAATTAAACTTTCTGCAAAAATAGGAATGTTTTATATTGATGCTGTCTAATATGACAGCCACATGTAGACACTGAATGCTTGATGTGTGGCTGGTGTGACTGAGGGACTGGGGTTTTCATTTAAATTTATTTAAACAGTCATGAAAAGCTAGTGTCTACCGTATTAGGCAATACATGAAAAGAGGTATATGACCCAGAGTAATGAGGGCTCTGCACACTAGTTCTCCACCCAACCAGCAGCAGAAGTAAAGAACATGGAAAAGTCTGGGTAGGGGCACATCATGTGCCAGGCCTGTAAGTGGTCTATGATATTTCCCTTTGTGTTCCATGAGTGAGAACTACTCACATGGTCCCAACCAGATGCAGGTGAGTTTGAGAAATACAGTCCCCAGGTATGCAGCCACCCACCAGCAACAACTCCAAATTTTGGAGGCGGAGACACATATTATTTTAGTAAACAGCCAGCTTGCTATCTCTTTCACAGATGACTATGAAGAAAGAAAATGACTTTCGAGGATCCTCTGTTACCTCCTCCTTTCCCATCAGCCCTAGTCATAGAATATTAGAATTAGATAGAAAACGAATAGATCATTTCATTCCATTGTTGATCAAATATTCAGGCAGTTCATGGTGGAACAGTTCCTGTGACAAGCTTTTCTGGTTCTCCACGGGTTCCTGAAGAAACCTGCAGGGAGATCTGCTTTCCCTACCACATTCTTTTGCCCTGTTTCTCTTTTCCTTCAAGCCAAACTTAGTTGTGCTTTCTCTTAGAGAAAATGGCCTGATGATGATATTGATTTGATTAACACTTGCATGCAAATCAGGATACCCACAATCCTATCACTTAACAGTGTGAAGTACCCTGAATGACACAGTTGCACTTTAAAGGAAGAACTTTATTGCTTAAGCAGAAGTAATGATTGACAGGGACCTTCTGGCAGGGTATTGGGGGAAATATTTACCTAACCTGTAGGGCCAGCTCTTAAATTTCCTGGAACACTTGTAAAAAGGGGCTCAAAGACTTGGATGTGGGCCCAAAAGCATAAGGGCACTCTGTTAATAAATCCTTCCTCTGCCAGCCTCAGGATAGATTCCAAATCATCTCTCAAGAGGCAGAAGAGGAGAACAGCAGGTCCCAGTGCCCAGAGACTTATCCAAGGTGCTCCTGCCCATGGTTCGTAGCTATCAGAAATAGCCTCACCCAGCTTCACTAGAACGCAGCATTTAAAACATCAGTCATTTTCCTGGCAATGACTTACGTATTACTTTGGGGAGGGATCTGCCCTGTTGGTTAGCATATCCTGTGTGGGGCCTCTTCCATCCAGACTCTAAGCTGCTATAGGAGGCAGGGATCTTATTCCATGTACGTGAATCTCCCAGGCACCTGGCTCTGTGTCTGTTGAGCCACAGCATAAGTGAGCATAGAGCTGTTTAATGGGGTCAACAGGGCCCACAGATCTATTCTGGACAATCTGAGTTCTGGTCCTGGCTGTGTAGTCTTAGGCAAATGGCTTTTCTTCTCTGAACGTTGGATTTATCTTCTAAAATAAAGTTCAACAATCTGGAATCTATGGGTCAAATCAAGTTTGGTCTGTTTCCGTACAGCTTGTGCGCTAAGGATGGTTTTTATATTTTTAAAGGTTTGTAAAAAGCAAAACAAGGAGAACATGCAACTGAAACCGTATGTGGGCCTCAGAGCTGGAGAGTCCTACTACCCGGCTTGAGAAAAAGCTTGCCCACCCATGCCTGCTCTAAAATGAAGATAATACTGGAAAAAAAAATAATGTCTGCCTTTAAACTTTTTTCTTTTCCCACAATTCAGCGAAACCATTTATCTAAAGAATTTATAGAAATCCAAATAGTGATTATATAACCCAAGTGCCAGGCCACTCAGGAAAGGCAAGGCTGAGAACCCAAACAATACCCTTTCTCTAGGCAAACACCTCAGGGTCCAATCAATATGCAGCCGGGAAGACTCAGACACAAATAATGACCAGTAAAGTCCTTTTTTTTGGTCCTGGCGTTCACTGGTCCTGGAGGCAGTAGAGGTTGGCAGTTAGCACTTAAGCCTGGGAGTCAGAGTAGCCATCCTGAGTCCCAGCTTTATCTCTAAATTCCTATAGACATTTATTGAACCCTCTCTGAACTTCCAACTTCTCAAAATAGGAATCAGGATAGTCACCTACCTCCAGGACTGCAATGAAGGCTAAGATACCAATCAGTGGAAACTATCATTATTATTGTTAGGGACAGAAAAAGAAAGAATATATTCTCATACATGTCTGCCTCTTGAAAGTGCTTCAATACCAACCCAAAGTCAACAAGCCCCACGTTGCAAAGTACTCTACCATCACCACCCCAGGGAGCACTCAATACGTATTAACCAATCAATACTGTTGGCAAAGGGCTCAGCCTCCTGCAGTTGAAAAGCCCAACAAGGGCATGAAATATTTTCCCTGAATTTCTCTCTGTTGCCCTGTTTACCTAAGCCCAAAGCCCTCCAGATACCTCTGTGCTGCAATAATAAGAACACACACAACAACACATACATAAATAAAATATTTTGCTGCTAATGAGGAGCAACCAGCAGTTTTCTCATCACTCTGGTGACAAGCTTATGTGCTCTACAATTGCAGTCGAAATATTTTTGCTACTTTGGTGATTTTCTTGGCTTCTTTCCCGAGGGATTAATCATTCCTCCAGCACTGGGAGAAGCTGAGAAATCATAGACATGACTGAATGACATGATAGTGCATTCTCGTCACCCACGCTGAATCTCTCTGGGCATGAAATTAAATCATCTAGGGGAAGATGGCTTGCTGAGGTAGGGCAAGTATGGCAGCATAAGCCCTCTAGGGCTCTTGCTTCGTGGTATGTGTTCCAGTGGTCAGATAGGTTGACTGCAGTTCTTCTGCGTTTCCTAAATTCTAGGTGAAAAAACAGGAACACACTTAAGGTCTTGTGGATGTGCCTAAATTAAACTCATGCTGCCACTGGGTTGGCAGGCAATAGTCAGTTATGAACTAAGGTTATGACTGAGAACAGAGATCACTGTAAGCAAGTTTTGAATCAGGAGAAGTCGACCTAGAGGACACTCTAGAGGTCATTTTATTTCACAAGGGAGGAAGCTGTAGACCCACAGGGCTTTGGAGGCAGACACACATGTATTTGCAACTCTGCCTCTTGTCACCAAATCACCAAACCTCTCTGTGATCCAGTTCCTCTCTGAAAATGTTACAAGTACCTTTTTCACAGACAGTTTAGCACAGGGCCGGGTATAAGATGAATATACAAATGTACAATGGCCAGACCATAAACACAAATAGAACCTTGACCCACCATTGCAGCGGCATGGCCAGGGAGCCAACCCCTGATTTACAATAAAACTCAGGAAGCCAGCTTGCTCGAAGTCATATTGCTACTTCTAGTGACAATCAGAAGGCTAAACAATAATTTCTTCAGGGATTAGCCCAAAATGAGCAGGGCATAATAACTGACAGCTTCCCTGATTTTGTCCTCACTTCCAATAGTGCAAATCTGAGAATGCCACATATGGTTCCCTAATCAATCACATACATGCCCAGCTTCTAGTTAGCCCACCTACAACATCCCCATCCAATCAGGGCATGCCTGAAGCTTTCCTAGTCCTCTGCCTGCCTTTTAGTCTCTGACAAAACACGACTGGTGCTAGCTAACTCCCTTGCTGTAGCAAGCTCAGAATAAACAGCCTTTGCTTCTTTCCATTTGGTTAATCTTTCTTTGCTTCCAGAATGCACACACTCCTACCCTGTACATTGCCTGCACAATTGCACACACATTGTCATACAGTGAATAACAAAAAGACACACCTCTTGAAACACTGTTGTAATTTGCAATCCACTGATAAAGCCAATTAACAAAGGACTTAATCTCCACTGTATGATTACTCAAGCTTGTTTTATCCAACAAGAATTCTAAAAAGTCTGTAAGTTTGTATAGTGTTTAATCTTCTCAGAGCTTACACAAAGTGTTACCTCATTTGCTCATCAAATCTGTAAATGGAGAAGAACCCAAGCTGACTTCTTCATTAAACAAAGTAGGAACAAAACCAAGGGCCCACAATAGTTTTAGGGGCTCACAAAAAATGGCTTCATTTCTTTTTAATCAGAAGGAAGGAAAACAACTTTTTAGGTGGAAGAAAATAATTGACACATAATATTAGCATACTGGTTTTTACACCAACACAGTTGTAAAATGCAATTTTTTTCAATTTTTCTACTACAATTACATGAACAACATTATGGTTTCTAGACCCCCCTACTGTCAAGTCCCCACCAAATACCCCATTACAGTCACTGTCCATTGGCGTAGTAAGACGCTATAGAATCACTACTTGCCTTCTCTTTTTTAGCATCTATGGAGATGATCATGTGGGTTTTGTCCTTTTTGTTGATGTGGTGGATGATGTTGATGGATTTTCAAATGTTG